CCTTATAACTGTGGTTTTGAACTCTATGTCCTCCATTAGTTTGCTTTCCTCCATTTCTTTCATTTGTGACATGTTTCTTTGTCTCCGCATTTTTGGCTGACAGCGAGGACCTGCTGTGTCTACAGTGGAAGAACTGCTGTGCTGGAGACACCCTTATGGGGTAGAACTTGCTCTAGTGGGGCTTTCGTGCTCACTGAGTCTGCTTCTTGAGTGTGTCCCTTATGGATGTGAGGAGTTGAAATCTGGTATCTGACCAGGGGTACCCTGGCTCCTGGATCTCCAAGTCAACCACTGTGTGAGTTCACCCAGCAAGAGCTACAGCGATATCAGCAGATTTCTCCTCTTTGTTTGGGGTTTGGAAGTTTTGGAGCTCTCTGACCCAGCTGCAGTTTGTTAGGTTAGGCTGCAGAAGCGCAGGTGATTCCTTTGCTCCGCTGAGCACAGCTTGGGTGGGGATGTAAGTTGAGTGGGGCGGGGTCTCAGAGGATCACCAGGGTGGAGCAAACAGCAATGGCTGTCGTCAGCCATCTCCGTGCCTCTGCGTCCTGAGTCCCGCGCCCCCTCAGCAACAATGATCCCTGCGAGCAGCTCTGCGAGAAAGTCACCGTCGCTTTCCGACCCGCTGCAAGACAGTCCAGTTTCTCCCCATAGGAGTCTGGGACCCCAGAGTCTCGCCGTAAATGAGTTCAGTGCATTTGAGAGCTTGTATCCCCATCCGATTGAAAAAAACCGCGCACCCTGGTGCAGCCCGGTTCACGCGCCTCCGTACCTCTGTTCTTGGTGCCTCTGCACCTCCTACCTGGTCTCAATGCGCTTTTTTCTTTCCTTCTAATTGTAGAACTTCCACTCGGCCAGCTTTCCCATGGTTCTGGATGATAGCTGTTTTGTCTTATAGTTGTAGTTTTAATGTTGTTGTCGGGGGCAGCACATACAGGTTTATACCTTATGCCACCATCTTGGTTCTTCCCGCCTGTCCTGTTTATCAGAATTCCTACTTAGGGGAGTGCCGAAGGCGGTGCCCCTAATTATTCCTTGACCTTTCCAAATAAGTCTGTGTATGTGCAGACCCCCGAGTGTTTACTGGAATCCTTATGCTTAATCCCTGGATGCCCTTGCCTAGAGGACAATGTAAACATGTGTCCTCCCAAGATTACTCACCCTATTGATTGTAGCTAAAGATAAAAAATTCCAATAAAGGCCTAACAAGGCAGGCACTAGAGGCTGCTCTGGCCACTAGAGCTGGGCAAGCCCCTTAGCCCTCTCTTTCACAGTCAAACTGTGTTTGAGTAATCTGTTCATCCGTCATTCAGGGGCTGCTGGTCAGCCTCGGCAAGGTGGTGCCCGTGTGAGGACCAAGGAACGCAAGTAGACGTGGCGGAACCCTCGAAAACGAAGAGGAAGGAAACAAAAGTAACTGCGCAGTAAGTCATTGGAGCCTGCTTGGGATTTCCAAGTTCGAGGGAATTGTTTTTCAGCTAAGGATTCACAATAGGACAGCAACTATCCACCGAGTAACATGCCTCTGTTACTTAAAAAGTATTAAAAGCTAATGGTGCCTCAGTTATACAAGAACAATTAAGGAGCCTGTTACAAATCGTTATAATTTATAATTCTTGGTTCCCTTAGGATTTCCAAGTTCGAGGGAATTGTTTTTCAGCTCAGGTTTCACAATGGGACAGAAGTTATCCATAGAACAACAACAATATATAATAGTGCTGTTAATGTAAAAAAACCATTGAAGCCTGTAAAGAATTTTTGTGAGTTTATTTGAGCCAGACTGTCTGTCAACATATGCTGGGAAGCAGAACCTCAACAAATTGAGATAATGCTCTGGAGAATGGCAGGTTACATCTGTATTTATACATTGCAATCAAAGGAGGGATGTAGGTGGGTTACATGAAATTCATTGTGATAGATTAAGGAGGTGGGATAAAGCAAAGCGGGGAAACCCCTGGGATTGGATAAAAAGTAAAATGATAGACACATACTTAGGTGGGTGCAGGAACAATTAACATGATAATGAAGGAATTTGTGGTATCTGTCCTGGCGCCCAGCACATTTGGTTGTGCCCCAGGGGATCCAGAAAACGGGAAGTTACGAGTTACCCAGACACTTCAAGGGTATGTTGTCAGAGATGCAAAAAGACAGATAGGCTCAGTTAAGGTAAAGGTTGACCTTGTCAGTGAAGATACCAGCTTAGGACATAACTGCCCACCATAACTGCTTTTAGTTAAAGTTTAATTTCAGACCATCCTTTGTAGTTAATTTAGGTTTCTGAGTTTGCAAGACTGCCATGCAGGCCTCCCCTGAGCTTGTCAGGTCAGCATGTGACCCCTTCCGTCCACAGTCTTTAAGCAGTTGTTAAAGGCGAATGGTGCCTCGGTTACCAAGAAACAATTAAAGGGCCTTTTGCAGACTATTATAACTTACTAGTGGCCTGGTGCACAAAATTTGTGCATGGAGGAGGGGAGGAGAGTCCCTCAGTCTGGCCTGCACCCTCTCGCAACCCAGGACCCCTTGGGGGATGTCCGACTACTAATTTAGGCCTAAACTGGCAGTAGGACATCCCTCTTGCAATCTGGGATCACTGGCTCCTAACCGCTTGCCTGCCTGCCTGATCGCCCCTAACTGCTCGCCTCGCTGCCTGATCACCCCTAACTGCCTCTGCCTCAGCCCCTGCTGCCGCAGCTTCATCTGGAAGGACATCGGAAATGACGTCCAGAAGGTCGTTCAGCTGTCTGGTCTAATTAGCATATTATGCTTTTATTATTATAGACTAGAGGCCCCGTGCACAAAAATTTGTGCACTCGGGGGGGAAGGAGGGGGTCCCTCAGCCCAGCCTGTGCCCTCTCGCAGTCTGGGACCCCTCGGGAGATAACGACCTGCTGGCTTAGGCCTGCTCCTGG